TTCTCTGTTTCTGAAATATTCCAGCCAGGACACCAGAGTGGAGAGGGAAATAGAGTCTCTGAGACAAGAGAGAGGGTGAGTAACAAGTTGCAAGAGGATTAAGGACCAGGTTATGGTTCTCTCCTTGTCCACTGCTGCCCAGAAAGAAGAGGGAACATCCCAGATGGAAGCAGAGTCTGCAGAGCCTCTTCCACCTCCTCCTGCTGCAGCAAAGCCTCGGCAGGGCCCAGCTGGCCCCAGGTGCTGCAGGAGCAGATGATCCTCTCACACCAGCTGTGAATTCCTGACGAGTTCACCGGATGACACAAATTGCCAGAGCACTGAGCTAATGGGAACGTTTTCTTCCCAGCAAAGCCTCCCCCTGATCTGCTGTGGAAGGTCAGCAGCTGGATCTGCAGCCATCCATCACCCTGAAAGTAACAATGACCTGACCAACATCAGGACCTTCACAAGTAACTCCAGCTGCTCCCCAGCCTGGGCCTTGGAGCCCACTGGAGTGTCTGAGCCTGCCACGGTGGAGCTCCCAGACCTTGGGCTTTTAGAGCTCTTTTTTAAGCTGTTCCCTGTGGGAGTTTCTACCTTCCAGACTCACTTTGTCGAGGGACACCAGAGAACTCTCACCTTCCACACACAGAGCCATGGAAATCCATGCCCAGCTTCCCAGTACAGAGCCATTCCTTCCTTTTTTTTTTTTTCCCCCCTCATAAAGTAGGACTAAGTCAAGCAAAGGAAACACCTCCCACTCAACACCCCCAACTTCTTACAGCATCTCGAAATTCCTTGGTGGGTATTCATCCAAAAACGGCCCCGATTCAACCCAGTTTCACTTATCCACTGTGACAGGGACGCAGCAGGAGACAGCACGGGCACAGACCCCGCTCCGAGCTTTTCAGAGTCATTACTTATTAAATGCTGAGGAATAAAGTGAGCTGTTTTGAGCACTTCCACTGCCCTCGGGCTGATTATCCTCGCTGCCAACTGGCCACCGTGCCCGGCTCAGGCTGGCACAGATGAAGCAGCCACTGCTGCCCCAGACTCTTGGCCTATTTCAGCACAGAGGAAATGCCCCACACATCAGTTATGAGGGGAAAAAGCAGCAAGTAGGTACTGAGAGTCAGGGAGAGTCATGGCACAGGGTGCCCAGAGAAGCTGTGGCTGCCCCATCCCTGCAAGTGTCCAAGGCCAGGCTGGATGGGGCTTGGATAGTGGAAGGTGTCCCTATCCATGGCAGGGGGTGCGACTGGATGGGCTTTAAGGTCCCTTCCCACCCAAACCATTCCATGACTGGGTAGAAAAATAGGTCAAATGTTTCAAGTATCACATTGCAGAGGAGTTTGTGCCAATAATTCTGTGGAGGCTCATGAAAAAGTGACAGGAAGTGGCTTCCCTCTGACCTCCCCTGAATGAGATTCCCCTGCATCCAGCTGGAGCTCTGTGCCTGGAACAGCAGCTGGACTTTTTATTGCTGACACCACCCCTCACACCTCATCCCCTTCCCTGTCACACCTCAGGATTTACAAATCACTGAGCAGCTCTCACCTCACCTTAACTGTTCCCATCCCTCTCTACCTCCCACAGCTACAACAGCTCACGAGGAATTACGAGCTCCTTTCTCGCTGCTTTAAATCCTTCTCAAATCCTCTTCTGCCCTGGCTTCATGGGAGGGATCATGGAAACCTGGGCTGTCCCTGATGCTCTTGGTGAGCTGGGGAAACCCCAGCAGGGTTCAGCCCTTTGAACTCCTCCTTGAACCTGCCCCAGCCCCACAGCTCCAACCTCCCCCTGTGCCAAGGGCCATCCCAGCGCCTCAGGAGAGCTGAGAAACCCTCACAAATAACAAATTTAGAACCTTAAACTTCCTGTCCCCTTCTCCACACAGACCTCTGGGATGTCAGCACGTACCGACAGCACACGAGAGCTTTGAAACATCCACAAATCACAAAAAGAACAGGGATAATCTGCCAGCTGGAAGCTGCAGCCCATTGTTTTCCCATCAGAGCTGCCTGGAATGACCCACTTGAGAAACACTTAAGGAACACGTGTTCAAGGACTCACTGCAGAGCTGGAGTGGTGATGGGCCACGTCCGGGTGACAGTGACAACTCTGCTCCAGTGGGAAGGGTGTCTTGTAACGCCCTGCCGCAGCTTGATTATCCCACAGTCCAGATTTCCTTCTAAATTTAAGCCAAGAGCAGTTGGAAGGCCACAGAGCTGCCCAGGACACAGCTCCTGGCCCCTGTTCAGCAGGTTTTAAGGTGGGGCTGTGGAGAGGAGCCAGACCAGGTGCCCTGGGATTGGCACATCCCAGGAACTCATCACACCTGGGGTGGGCGTGGTGCAGCCCCGGGGCTAATCCGTTCCCCTGGGATTCCCCCAAGGACTCATCCAGGAGTCCCTCTGGTGGAAAATGCCCTGAAACAAGCTTGGCTGAGAGTTGAGGGTGTCCCTTCTGTCCCCAAGAGCCCTGAGGTGACACTGCAGGTGCCACAGCCCCACGTTGTTCCCACAGGAGGATGGGCACGAGCCCAGCCCGTGGATGCTGCCAGCCCTGTGTCTCTCCAGGCAGAAAAAGTACCCAGAAAGATGACATTTCCCTCTGACAGGGAAAACTTTGAGGATCCCAAAATGTCATTAACAGGCCCAACCTCACCTTAAAGGAGCAGCTGTTGGGAAATGATCCCTGGGCTCAGCAATACCTGGCTTGGATGAGGGACAAGAGGGAAATCCCCGGGGAGTCCGGAGGGGAGCGTGCGAGTGGCTGAACCGCCGAGCTCTGAACCACAGGCACAGGAAATGCTGCTGTGATTTTTAGCTCTGCTTCGCTTTCCTACCCACTGAAATCAAATTTCCTCCTGCCCAAGCCCAGTGACCACACGTCCTGCCCAGCAGCTTCCCTAGAACCACCGGCACTGTGGGATTAGGGAGCACTGTGCAAGCACTGAATGGGGATGATTGGTTATTGGCAGCAGAGTGGCTGGAAATGGGTGTTTCTGGAGGGAAAATAAAGAAATAAAGTCCCCGAGTGAAAGGCCGGTGATGAAGTGTAGCCCGGCTCTAATCCCAGTGTAAACACTGCCATCGCTCCTAATTATTGACAAACATTTTTCTAATTGTGGAAATTAAACAATTAGACATCCTTCCTTCCCTCTTGGAAATCTAATCAGCCCAAAGTTCAGGATGCAGCCTGGAGCTGCCGCTGCAAAACACGCTGCACTCACGGGCTGGGAAAAACAGGGCTTCTCCCAAAACCTTCTCCCAAAACCCTTCTCCCAAAACCTTCTCCCAAAACCTTCTCCCAAAACCCTTCTCCCAACATGTCCCCCCAAAGCTCCCCCAGCCCTGGCCCCGTTTTTGGAAGGACAGATCCATGGGCAAGGTGTCAGATATCCCAGAGGCTCCCCAGGAGCACTGCTCTATCCCTGTATTCCCAGGGATTTCAGGGCCAGGCAGGCAAAGAGCCGTCCCTGCCAGGAGGATTCAGGTCGTAGCTCTTGCCCCAGTGACACATTTCCCTCCATCCTGGAGAGGAGAGCAGGGAGCGGGCGGGCAGAGCTCCTTGGAAGTTAATAACGGAGATTTACCGGCGCGGGAACGCCGAGGAAGGAGGTCACGCTGCTGATGCTCCTGCTGCTGATCCCTGCGGATAAATCCGCATCAGGAAACGAATTACCCAGAGAGGGGGATTAAGGGGGATGATTTTAATTCCTTGCTGAAGGAGAAGTGTTTTAATGCTGAGCCCCTCACAGCCACCGACGCCGAGCACTGGCTCCCGCTCCCGGCAGGATCTGACCCACAGGACCTTTCTGTTGGAAAGAGGGGATGAGAAAAATCCCTCCTCGGGATTTGAGCCTCCATCAGGCTGCAGCCCCACACCCCCGCCACCCCAAGATCCCCCAACACCTGGGCTCAGCCACAGGCACCTGAAAATATCCCTCTAATCCCAGTTTTCGGTTCTTCCTCATTCCTTGCAACACCTGATTAAATATCCAATAGTACTGACAGCCTAAATCCAACACAATTCCATCCATCCCAGACCAAGTTACTTTCCCAAAGCTTACTGCAGACTTTTGTGAGATTTCTTATGTATTTTATCCCCCGTACACCCACATGGACCAGCAGCTGTTCCACAACCAGCCAGACTCCTGGAATGCATCTCCTTTCCCCCGTGCTCGTTAGCGTGGGCTGTAACGAGCCCCATGGTTTCCATCCGAGTAATTCCACAGGCAGGATCTGGGAATTATCAGGCACCAGAGCAGGGCTGGCCCTGGAGCACTTGGTGTCATCCAGCCCCGTGGGGGGACACTGGCAGCACTCCAGGGAGACGAGGTGGCAGCCGGGGCCACGTGTCCTGCGTGTCCCCCAACCCTTCCCAGCTGCTCCCGGAGCCGCGGGAGGACGGTCCCCAGGGAGGGACCGGAGCAGGGGACAGGAGCCATCTGCTCCAGAGCCCGGGGTCTGCGTCTGGAGACAGCGAGTGACAAACAGGGTTAATGTCCCATGAGCGGGAGCCGTCACTCTGTGTTAGGGCCCGGCTTCCACCTTCCACAGCACAACATTCCAGCGTGGATCGCACGGGGAGAGGCACCGGCAAACCGGGATGGGACCGTGACTGGAGAGGCCACTCTGGTGGGACTGTGGTGTCAGGAAGGGCCTGTCCCTCCTGGCTGTCATGGTCCTGCCCCCGGGCTCTGCTCTGGTGGGACAGAAGGGCAGGGAGCAGAGCAGGGCCCTGGGAAACAACCCCACGGGGTCCTGTGTGACGCAGGGACCGACCGGCGCCATGCCAGCGACCTGAGCCGAGCACGGGGTGTTCATTATTGAAGGCTGGGGCAGAGTTACCACAGGCACCAGGTGTCCTGTTTCTGCCAGCACCAGCCCGGGAGGACATTGGCTGTCACAGGAACCTCCATCCTCCCTGTGTGGCTTCACCTGGGCCCGGTGACCCACAGACACAAACACACACCAGCACACGCCAGCACCCGCTCCAAAGGAACAGCCAATTTATTGTCGTATAAAGTGAGAACATAAAAGGTCCCTTAAACCAAACACGGATGGGTCAGGCGGTCCCGGTGGCCCCCACACTGCCCGGGGGGAGCAGCCCGGGGGGCCTCGGGGGGTCCCCCCAGCCCCTCTTGTCCGCAGCCAGTTGTAGAGGGGGAAGGAGCTGCCGTGGGGCTGCGGGGACGCCCAGATGGGAGCTGGGGCCAAGGCGTTTGTGCGTTGCAGAGCTCCTGGTCTGCGCTGGAATTAGGCACTTGTGGAAGGTGCGGGCACTGCTCCCGGCCGGCTCCATCCCACGGCTCCCCATGGCACTGGGAGGACGGGCAGGGGCTGGGGCTGGAGCCCTGCCTGTGCCAAAACCCGCTGCCCACACCAGGGGCTGAGGCTGGGCCAGGTCTGGCCCGGTACAGAGGAGGTTCAAGCAGCTTTGGTTGGTGCTCTTGGTGAATTAAGGCAATTTATCTTCAGTTGGTTTAAAAAAAGGCCAAAACCAGCAGAAACCAGCTCTCCCAGGGGCCAGACACGTGGGTGGAAGAGTCTGGATCTGCTCTGGCTTTGCTCTGAGTCGCCACTTGGACCCTGCACACATAAAAGTGGGCAGACCCCCTCCTGTGCCAGCCCTGTGCCCAGCCTTGCCTCCACCACTTCCACAGGGAACCTGCAGCCAAATACTGGAAGTGCCCAAAAGGGACTCTGGAGCATTTTTAGGGGAGATTCAGGCTCCTGCCAGTGGTGCGGGAGTGGGGAGAGGGCGGAGGAGCCACAGTGGCTCCTTCCATCCCACTTCCCATCACAGTGACTGGTCGGCAGCTTGTGAGGTGGGAACTCCCCTCCGGCAGCCGAGGGGAGCAGGGGGTGAGGGTGCTGCAAACACCCACCCCCGTGGTCCCTGGGGAGCATCGAGGGGCAACTGCTCCCCTCGACATCCCAGCAGGGCTGTACCTACTGCCTGGACCCCTCAGTTCCCCTCCATCAGCACCCACACCCCTTGGTGGCCCCAGAGGGCTCTGCCCTGGGGAGCTCATTCCCCATTTGGTTCTTATTCCCCACATTCCAAGGGGGAAGGTTCTGGGTTTGCCCACCAGTGACCCCTCCTCTGGGTGGGGACCCCCACGCCTCTTGCCCCACCTGGCCTGGGGGTGCTGGGAAGGGAGCAGGGAGCAGCAGGGGCCGAAATGGGAGATGGGGTGGCACAACCCACACAAGAGCTGGAGCTGGAGCTGCCTCTGGCCTCTCCCAGCCGGGGTATCCCCAGTTCCTGTCCCATCCTTTGGTCCTACTGGCTGCAGTCACAGCCCGTGACCCCCCAGGGTCGATGACCCAGCAGGGCACTGCCCTCACAGACCTCCTGCTCCTTCCCACTGCCCTCCCAGCAAGGAGCCAGGCCCAGGCCAGCCTGTGAGGGATGGAAACACCGATTCCGTTAATGCCCCAAGGGATCTCTGTGAAGGAAATACAAAAGTTTTACATGAGGTCCGAACGTCCAGGTTGGTCGGAGCAATGGCCACATGCCAGGGGGATGCTCCAGGTCCTCCATAACATGGGAGGACACTGTGGATGCTCTGTGCTCGTGGCTGATATCCATCCCTGGCCACAGCCACCAGAGCCAGGGACTCACCGGCCGCGGCTCCCGCTGCCAGGAGGAGAATGGGGCAAATCCGTGAGCATCTCTGTGCGACGCCGGTGGCTGTGACAGCTCCTGCAGCCATGAGGAGCCCCCAGAGTGGCTGTTCCCCAGCCCTGTGCGTCCCCGTGTCCTGCAGGATGCCGGTGCTCACACCACAGTGCTGATGGTGGACGACTCCTCCGAGCGCCGCTGTTTGCTGGGCAGCGACTTGAGGTACTCCAGGTGCCTCCGGGCGTCCTCCTGGTTCTGCCGCACGTAGTACACCAGGTAGGAGATCACCATGGCGAACCAGCCGAACATGGTGACCAGCATGGCGATGTCCGTGGTCTTCTTGTACACGTTGCAGAAGTCCGTGTCGGCGATGACCTGCAGGAAGGCTTTGCCCACGTGCTCCTCCTGCGCCGAGGAGTCGCAGACGATGCCGCCCGAGGATCCGGCCACCAGCTCCACGGTGCGGATCAGCTCCTGCAGCCGGCAGTCACACAGCCACGGGTTGTTGGACAGGTTCACCTTGGCCTTCAGGTTGCTGAAGGCGTCTTTGCTGACCGACACCAGCCTGTTGGAAGACAAGTCCAGGGAGTGCAGGTGCTCTGCCAGGCCCCGGAAAGCCCCGCTCTCCACGCTGGCGATGGCGTTGTGGGACAGGTCCAGCTCCAGCAGGAGCGGCAGGTCCCGGAAGGCGTCGCGGGGCAGGAAGGGGATTCGGTTGGAGTCCAGGTAGAGCTTGTTGGTGTCGTTGGGGATGTCTCTGGGGACCTCGGTCAGCCGAGCGTTGCTGCAGCGGAAGGTCTTCAGCCCCTCCTCCTCCGAGGGGTAGCAGCCCTTGGGGAAGGCGGTGGCCGGGCGGAGGCAGCAGCCCAGGAGGAGGAGGAGGAGGAGGAGGCTGTGCAGGAGCAGCCCCATGGTGGCCGGGCGGAGGAGGACCCGCTCTGCCAAAGGCATCGTGCCGTGCTGCCTTTGCCTTCCTCACACCCCCGGGGGCTTCAGCTGGACTCGGCACATCTGAGAGGGGATAGCAAGGGGACAGCGTCAGGCCAGGGGGGTCAGGGGCAGAACTGTCACTGTACTGGCTGTGGGTACTGCACCTGACCCTGGCCAGGGGACAGGGACGGGGATGGGGACCGGGACAGCCGCCACGGCTCACGCATCCCCCCATCCCCGGCCAGCATCATGCTCGGGGCTCCTGCGAGTCAGGATCAGGTCCCAGGGCCTGAGCACGTCTCCTGCGCCGGCAGCTGGGCTGTAACAACCGGAGACGCTCGGGCTGAGCCAGAGGCGGGGGTGAGATCCCGCCCTGCCAAGGTCACGGCGCTGCGATCGCTGCTCGCAGGAGGCCGATCCATCCTGCGGCGGCCGGAGGACGCACCAGCCCGAGTCCTGGCTCCGGGCGAGCGGCCGCTGCCGGCAGCCCCCGGGGAATGCCATGGAAAACATGTGCGGGCAGCGGCTCAGCGGGTTCCCACTCCAGGATCCGCTCCCCGGCAGCGCCCGGGGCACGGGAGGACACGCGACGGGTTCTCTCCTTTCGAGGAGACTGGCACGGGTGGGTGCTGGGTGCCCCTGTCCCCTGCCCGCTGCCGCCCCGGCCGTGGGGTCGGGCTGCCCACACCACCCCGTAACCCTGGGCCCCATGTAGCCCTTGATTCCGGAGGGGAAAAACGTCAGCAGGAAAGAAACAAAAACAGAAAAAGGAAATTCGCTGGAGCTGAGCATGCAGTGAGTTCCCAGGGTAGTGGCAGCAGATAAGGGCCGTGTCCGAGGGCTCCGAGCGCTGCCCGGCTCTCCCAGCCCTGGTTCCCACCACGTCCAGGGGCTCCAGCCCGTCCCTGCGCCGGCCGCAGCGCTGGAGCCCTGGAGGGAGGATCCAGGTGCTCTCCCACCATCCAACAATCAAAGACACCGCCTGTGGCACCCGGTGAGGCAGCTCAGTGCTGCTGGTCACCAGGCACCTCCCGGGCAAAGCTGCTGCAGGTCCCACATCCCCCCACTCCTCGGAGCATCCCAACGGCAGCAAACCCGTCTCGGGGTGTTGACTGGGGGTCCCCGGCGCAGGGTAGAGGCGCCCACCCGAGGGTGGCCCCCAAAGCACAGCACCCCAAGCTCTGGGCACTGTCACCCAGCCCGGCCGCGCAGAAACACCCCAAGGTCACACCTGTGCAGAGCCGACCCCTGCGCTGCCAGAGCCCCGGGACCCGCGGGGGTCCTGAGCGGGCACCAGCGCTCAGAGCACCCCAGGGGCACCGGGACCCCACAGCCCCACACTGCACCAGCCCCCCAGGTCTGCCAGAGGTAACCCGGGACAAACGCAGCCCCCTGAGACCCCCCTCCGCTGCCCGGGAACCACCGGACTGAGCCGGGACCTGATGCCCCGGGATGGAGCTGCTTCATCCACGGGACGGGGACACCCCGCGGGTGGGATGCGGACCAGGCACCGCAGCGAGGACGAGCACTGCCAACCCCTGCCCCATCGCGGGGTCCCCAGCCCGCAGCAGGGTGCGGGAGTCCCCAGCCCGACCCCGGGGATCGCCGCCAGCCCCGGGGAGGGCGGTTGAGGTACCGGGGGCGGTGCGGGCGCCAGGACCCGCCGTGCGCCCGGGGATGCCCGGGGATCCCCCCGGCCCGGGGGCGTCGCGGGAGAGGGAAGCCCTGGTGCTTCCCCGGGGGAAGCTCCGCTCGGCGCGGCTCTTCCGCCCCCTCCCCTCG